GATTTATGCATCCTCTGCTCTGTGCACAATGAAGATATCTGAATTTTGTGAGGCCTTGTCGCAAGTGCAAATAGTTGCGACTATCAAAATTAGCCGTGGCTAAGGGGACTGCCAGAGTGGTGGGGCAGGGCAGGCGAGGGGGAGGGGGGCGAATCGATGCCCGATGGAGTTCACATCCATAATTCATAACGCTAATTAATAACGCCCCGTTTCAAATGTTGTGTGTGTGTGTGTGTGTGCGTGTGTGTGTTTGAGATGAAAGCCAAAAGTGCCGCCCTATGCACATAACAGGATAATGAACTCGAGACACCACGCCCACACAGCGCCCCCCCACGCCCTCCTTTGCCGCTTGGTCAGCCCCGGTGCCTTATTGAAATTCAAATAAACCACCTTTTTGAACGAAGGGTTTTCAATGCGAGTTTAAGTTGGGGCTTGTTACACTTTCTCTCTCCGGGCATGCCCAGTCGGGCATGCGAAATGTAACGCAGCTCAGAAATCAAATATAGTACTAGATCGGCAGACGAGTTGATAATGGCCATGGACGTCCGTACTTTTCTATGCGAACTAGTCTCTCCATTTGAAAAGCCAACATCTTGATACCTTGTTGGAACTGGCCGGATCGGACCACTATATATATATATGTATATACTTAGCTGCCATAGGAAATATCAAAATCTTGTCTAAACTCGGCATTTATTTCATCTTATATATGCATAAGCTTATCAATATCGAATACCTATATGATCGAGCTGCCTTAGCAATAATCGAATCCCCATATCATATATAATCAGGCGAAAATGCATGTTATGCCAACTTTTAGCATGCCTTGCTTTGGTTTAATATAGTTTCCAGGAGAATTCTTCATTGAAATTCGGTTTTATTTTTCTCAGTCTTTGTCTTGACTTTTGATATCATTTGCGCTTAAATGAAAATCGAGTTGTTGTTGCCTAGAATATATATATATATATATATATTTGTATACCAACATTTGAGTTCTTGCTTGGAAAAAAAATCGCATGTGTTTTCTTTTTTATTAAAAAATATCTCAAGCTCAACTTGTTACGTTTTCTGCTTGGGCTTCTAGGAAGCAATCATTCGATTGCTGTTAGGGTATTTGGTATTCGGTATAACTTCTTTTGACTACATGTCCTGTTTTGTTTTGTGTTTCTTTTTTGTTGTGGTTTTTTCGGCTATCGCGGCGTTCGCATCGCGCCTTAGGTGTAAAAATAAATGTTTAAAGTAACAACTTCTTAAAGAGCTGAATTATGGGCCACATGCGCGGCACGGCAAACCCACACCGTCGCGCACACACCCGCGCCACATCTGATCGTGCATCGTGCCATCAATCTGTTGATCCTTAGCATAGTCGAGAGAGCCTGAGCCTATAATTTGTACAAATTTCGAGGTCTGATTGATGCGACGGCGGCGCGTTTCTTCATCTTCATCTGCGTCTTACGCTTTGGCCACAAAGTTGAGCGTGTGGCGCGCCAAAAAATCTATTAAACAGCATTTCGAATTAAGTTCAACAACAACAACAAACACGTAGAAGAAGCAGATGAAGTAAAGAAAAACCAGCTGCCCGAACTGCATTCCTCCCCCCCTCCCCCTTCTCCGGCACAACTTGACAGTTGCTGTTTATCAAATGCTCATTTCTTATGCTCGGCCATAAAAGGACAAGTAACAAAGGTGAAAGTTCTTCCGGCGCTGTCGTTTTCAATGCCCTTTCATAAGCCTTGCCTACTATTCGAAAATCGGGCCCCCCCCCTCTAACCTTTAACCTTTGGCAGCCCCACACACTCTCTGTCGAGGACAATTGCATTGAGTTGTCAAGTGTCACGAGCGTTGACATTGAAAGAATAGACTGAAATGATAATAATACGGAATGGTTGAGCAGAGAAAACTCCATGCCCTTGCACTTTTCATTTCCACTTTGGGCCCAAATGGAGATACAGTCCCAGAGCCCGTTCTTATAGGGCCAAAGGTGACAAAGGGTCCTTAAAGAGATATCCTACATTGTTCTGTTTGCTCTTTAATGTGTCAAAATATAGTCCAAAGAGTGAGTTTGTCTTTCTTTCGATTTATTTTGTTTTGTAATGCAAAAGTGATTTATTGTTCGGTTAGCTCTGTTTTCGGGGCGTGGGAGCGAACAATCCAGACTCTATTTAATATCAAAGGATTTAGATTCATGCAGACCAAAACAGGCTCAAAATCCAAAGGTCTGCGTCCCCAGCTTTAAATGAACTCGGTTTTTTTCTTTAGGAGTTTATAGAATAACAATATAATATATATAGTTTAAAAATATGAAGAACATATATATAAGTTATAGAAACATATTTCTGACTTTTCCCAAATGAATTGATTTGATTCATTTCAAATATTACTTAATACAATTTTTCTTAAATTTATCGAATCTTAAGATTTCAAATACATTTCTGGCTTTAAAATTAATCAAATAAATACAATTACAATTAATTCAATTGTAGAAAATATGAATTATATATGTAGAAATAATTGTAGGCATTAGTTCATATTTATTTTAGGAATATTTAAGCCAGAATTGCACTTGAAATCTTCATTTATTTCCTACAATCTATTCTCATTTATTTTTTGGGAATATTAAGCAGGATTCTATCAAATAATTGTACAAATAACTGAAGCTAAATACTTTGGCAAAGCTGTTCTCAAGTCGTCTCATTAAATATATTTCATTTATGTACATTTTTCTTGAAATGAGAATTTCGTGCTCAATTCGAGCAACTTTGATCTAAACTTTGCCTAAACATAGTTTTATTGCCATTTTAGAGAAACAAGAATTCGGGCTCAAGCATAAAATAATCAATTTTTACACAACTTTCTTTCATTGCATAAGAAATGCGAGTCTTATATAAAGACTATTGACTCTCGAGCTGAGAAAAGATTTATTCAAAAAAAGAAAAGAAACGAATTTTGAGCGCAGCTCAATTGTTAATTGTTTATTAACTGAGTTTTCATAATTTGGAAATTTCTATATGAAATCTGTTAACTTTTCTTCCTGAGCCTGGAGAGGGTGAATGTGGCTCTGTCCATCAATCAGTCAGTCAATCCATCAATCAGTCAATCAATCAGTCAGTCAATCAGTCAGTCAGTCCATCAATCAGCATATAGAACTTGCAATTGGAATTGCTTTGAAAATGTTTTTCAACTCAGCCAAAAGAAAAACAAGTAAGGAGTTCTAGTCGGGAGCTCCCGACTAGGGGATACCCTGAACCCTCTTCTTCCAACATCAAATGCATATATATATTCTATCTTAGAAGCTATATGTCAACTTTGGTGACTCTAGCTCTTATTATTTACCAAAATCGCCCAACAAACAGAATATCGATATCGAGTTCATATCGATTACTTGGAAGCGGGGCAAGTTATCGATTATCGGAAACAAACTCGATCTGCGCGGGAACTAGGAGCATCTACATCTACATCTTCCAAGTCTCTAGCTCTTATAGGCTCTGAGATCCTTGCGTTCATACATACGGATGGACGGACAGACGGACAGACAGACGGACATGGCTAGATCGACTCGGCTATTGATGCTGATCAAGAATGTAAATACTTTATGGGGTCGGAGAAGCTTACTTCTGCCTGTTACATACATTTGCATTTTGCACAAATACAATATACCCTTTTTATAAAAAACCATCTAAAATTTTCTTATGCATATTTTGCAACTATTTCAATGTTGCAACAAATTCGAAAAAAAACTAAGGAATTATCTGATACATATTTTGATTTCAATTGAGTTTTGTCAACAATTTTAGATATTTAAATTTGGTGCTCTTTTTGATTTGTGGCTCGTTACAGATGCGATTGCCTTCCGTTCTGTTAAGTAGTCCGTCGCCGTCGCCTATTTCCGGCTTTGCGAAATGTTCGAATTCAATTGAAATAGCATATCTGTATTTGAATTTATTTGAATTGCTTAGCGATAAGCGAGTTCCCAGTACTGGCATGCCCTGCCCTGCCCTGGCTCTTCTCGCCGGGATCTCTGTCTCTTTCGCTCGCCTAGATATAGCGTATATCTCTGTCTCTTTCGCACGCGTGTGCTTCGAGCACGCGTCAAGGGCGTCATTTTACTTATCAGCTTGTGGCCTCTGAACCTGGAACCTACCTGCGCGCTTTTTTTTTTATTTATTAGTTTTTATATGGAGTTTGAATTCTTGCACGCGCCAAGACGGGGGTTTTTTTTTTTGTTTCTCATCTCATTTAGGGGCTTTTACTTCTACTGCTACGCTAATCCCGAGCTACCTGTTGATGATGGGGCGCGTGTTGATGTGTCGCTTGATTAGCCCACGTCAGAACGAGAAAAAGGGTTTAAGAGCTTGCCTCTTTGATGCGCTAAACCCGGCTCCGTGTTTGAGTTTGGAATATTAACGGCTTTGCTGTTGGCCCGCACATCCTGCCGGCCAGCTGGCACTGGCACTTATAGCCAATTTGTGGAGCGCAGTTCGACAACTCTGGCCCCAACATTAGGCAGCCCGCATCTTTGCGGCAACTCGCCTTGCTATCAGTGGGGAGATGGGGCGTGGCTTGTGTACAAATTTTCGCCTCTTTATAAGAATCTTGCCTTGTGTTTGCTTAATAATTGTCTTTTATTTCAGTTACAACAACTAATTAACATTTAATAATTAGCAATAATAGAAAAAAAAAATTATCTGCTTAAAATAATATTTTTTAAAATTTTATCAACTGGTCTCGAGTACAACTTAAACTAAACAAAAAAAATTGCGCTTAAATTATGAAAAAAAAAAATCTTAAAAAAAAGGTATTAAAATAATATTTAAAAATATTTAATTAATATTTAGAGAAAAAAAAAATGTTGTTTTAAGGCTAGAAACTGAGTCTATTTACAATTTGAGGCACTTGGTTCAACTCAAAATATTTTGACTAGAAAGCAAACAGCAGGAATTCTGATTGATGTTCGTTTTTACTGGACCTTCAGACCTCCACATACCTATGTGGGTGGGGCCTTACTGCTCCTGCCACAGCGATATATAGTCGAGGATTTCCTCATCATCGGGCGTGCAGTCCTCCTCGTCCAGCTGGAAATGCTCGTACGGCTCGAATTTCAATTGCAGCTGGGCATCCATGGGCGCCACGGGCGGCGATAGCTGCTGTGGCTGTGCCTCATATGTGCCCGAGTCGAAGGACATGCTCGAATTGAACGACGATGTTGGCGAATGGCAGCCTCCAGTTGTTGTTGTTGTTGTTGTCGCTGCTGTTGCTGCTGTTGTTGTTGTTGCTGTCGGCAGCGTGTTGCCATTGAGCGTGATGGGCGTCAGCGGCTGATGTGGAAACTGTTGTCGCTGCAATTGCTGTTGCTGCTGCAGCGCTGTGGGCGTGGCAGCTGCGGTTAACAGCGCACTGCTATAATAGAGATTATGGTTTAGCTGCTGGCTGCCCAAGCTGGAGCTGCTGCTCGATATGGAGGAGCTGTTGCTGCATGTCTCCTCGTCCAGGCACAGATTCAGCTGTGCCATAGTGCAGCTGCCGTTGCTGTTGCTGCTCGGCCCGCCATTGAGATCATCGACCAGATCCTGCAGCCGCCGGATATACTCGACAGCGATGCGCAGCGTGTCCACCTTGGAGATTTTCTTGTGCGGCCCACGGCCGCCGCCCTTCGTCAGATCCGCAATTATCGATTGCGGTATATGCTGGCGCAGTCGGGCAAAGCTATTGTTCACCTGCTTGACACGATTACGTTCACGGGCATTGCGCCGTTGCACTGACTGCGATTGGTCCACGTTGTACGGCGAGCTGGTGGAGCAGCAGGAGCTGCTGCTACTGCTGCTGCTGCTGCTGCCGCTCGAGGCATTGGCTAGCGCCATGCCACGCGGCGTATATTTGCGCGTCTTGATCAGCGAGGCGCCGCCGGAGCTGGAGCCGGAGCTGGAGCTTGTCTTCAGCTCGGGAGCGGGCATTATGTGCTGATAGCGATACATTTTGCTCGCACCGCCGATTGTTGTGGGAAATAGTTCGGCGGCGTTTTTGCCGACGGCGCTTGCATTGAACACCACACTTGACATTCTATATCTCTCTGTCTCTCTCTCTCTCGCTTTCTCTCTGTCTCGCACACACACACGTTTGAAAAAAAAAATATTAGTTTGATTTAACTTGTTGTTTTGGCAACGCAAGTACAAATTCGGTTATTATTATTTTTCTTTTTGGTTAGTTTTTTGTTTCGAAGTTCAACTTGATCGTTTGACACCTTGCACAAGAATGAGTCCCTTCGTCCTAAACCTTCATGTTTTGTACCTTTCGCATGCGACTCACTCGTGCGCTCTCAGCGCGCGTCGCTCTCTCCCACTCTCTCGCTCTTCCACTCTGCCACTCGCATGCGCTCATGCGCTTACCTGTGTCTGTGTGCGCGCAGGTCAGAGCGACGGCAAACCAACCACCTGGCAATTGAGTCACACGCGTGCTGCAACTCTTGAGCTACAGGTAGTGAGAGCGAAAGGGAGAGAGAGCAAGAGCGGCTCTCTCGAGCTGCCTGATCGCGCTCCTGCCTAGCCTGCGCCTGATAAGCCGCCAATCTCAACTGTTCCCACTCAGGCAAAAAAGAAACAAAAAAACTAACTAAATGAATTTCACTCAGGGCCTATCTTGAGTGTATTTTATTTTTCTGATTGAGGATCGACAGCGCAAACTTCAACTTAACGCTCAGCAGTGCATATTTGGCGAGGATCAGCTGCCTCTTGCTGTGCTCAAGAGCTCATGCAAAAGTTCACTCAGCGCTGGTTTCTTTAGTTTTAATTGCGAGAATCGGTTGAGTGCTGCGCTCGTTTCTGATCTGCCTGTGTCTCCAGCCAGCCTGATCATTTGTATGCCCGAGGATCAGTTGTTCGAGGATCAGTTGGCTCAAGCTGCGCTCTGTCGCTCACACTCAAAACTCCGCTTTGCTGCACTTTGAGCCTGTTTTTAACTGATTCGAGCATGGGAGGATCAGCAGCTCGAGGATCGGTAGCTGCAACTGCTTCGGCTCGGCTGTGTTCTGTCTTCTTCTCGAAGCTGCGCAAATTATTTTCATTCAACAGGCCCAGCTCGGCTGAGCGTATTTTGAGCCAACTTAAGATCAGGCTTTTTTTTTTTTTAGTATTTGAGCGAGTTTTTCTGCCGATTGATCAGTGGCTCGAGCTGCTTTTGCTTGCGGCTTTGATTTTGAACGGACTGGGAACAGTTTCTTAGTCAACGTCTGATTGAGTGGCGAGGATCAGTAGCTCGCGTCTGAGCCTTTGGCTGGCAGCTGTCCTGCCCAGCCCAGAACAGCCCAGCCCTACCCAGTCCAGCCCTGCTCTGCCCTGTGCGTTTATGGCTTTCAGCTGAAAGGCTGAGTTGGCATGCCAGCAATTTGATTTCCGTGTTAATTAACTTAGCAAAACTCGCGATCGTCGTCTTTATTTTTATTATATATTTTTTTTTTAGCAGCCCATTTCATGTGCAGCTCACGCACACGCCCCTATTCATTAGCGCCGCCAAGAACTGGCTGAAGAACAGAAGAACTGAGGCGCGCTGCAGAGCTGCAGAGCTGCAGAGCTGAGGAGCTGAGGAAATCGCCCCCAAACGCTTTGGCATGCGCGTGTCACCAGAGTCTTGAGTGGAACGAAACGGATTGTCGTGCTTATTAGCTATGCAGAGTCGGGCTTTGGTTAGGTGTTCGAACAATTTCACATATGCCTCTCTAATTAAACGATCAACAAGATCACAACTTTTTCCACGCATGCTGCAAACTTCCGTTTGACACTCTCCCTCTCTCTTCCTCTCGTTCTTCCTATCTCGCTGTCTCGCTCTCGCTGTCTGGAAATCTTGAATCGTTTGATCGTGCGTTCTTTGGTACGGATCCATGGCCAGGTGCTGGCTGCATTTCGATTTGGTTTTATTGTTTTCTTTTAGTTTTTTTTCTTTTTTTTTTCACTCTTTCAACTCGTTCCCATTGTTGTGTTTGGCCACATTTTGTGCTGAACCATCATCGATCGATCGAAACGGTAGCCGTGTCAATTTTCCCATTTCTATCGATTTTTCTCGTTTTCCATTTGCCAAAAACTCTTGACACAAAAACCCTTTTGAAAGGCATGACCGACCGACCGACCGACTCGACCGGCGCTGTTTACTCTTTGCATCCTTTGACAATTTGCGTAGCGTTTCTCGTCCTGTTTTCATGTTTGCATGCTGCATTCTCTGCTTCTTCTTCTGTTTTTTTGTATTTATGCATTGTAATGCGGAGGGAGCTCTGTCAGAGAATCGACTCCATTATTTTTGGCATCATTAACACTTTTATTGTTCGCATCTCGGCAAATGCTTTGCATCGACATTTTTCGCATGTCCTTTGACATATGCGCTATTGCTATTCAAATTGATTTGATAAATGCAACTCTCGCTCTTCGCTACCTTTTGACATTTGCAGCAAACGCATGAAGTTCCTGTTGAAATGTTCAAAATAGGGTTCTGTGGTTTACTGTGCGCCCCTTTGTCTGACCCGTAGAATGCGTCCTGATGACCCATTGTACTTTGAATTTCCTCTATGCAAAGACTCGGCCAAATGCGGCATGCGGACAGAGACAACTCGTTGAAGTGCATTTGCGTAATGATCGGCAATTGCAGAGAACAGATCGTGTCCATAGATCGGCTTATGGTCAATGCCTATTGACAATCGCCATCGAGTGAACGAATACCCAATTGAAAAGAACCGTTCTGGATAGAGTATCGGCTTATGCTCTGAACATATATGGATAAATCTGACCCATTGCGAGATCTCAATAGTTTGCATTAGAGGATCGGCCAATGGACAAAATTTCATTAAACTAACTGATCGCACGAATAAGCTGCGATTGTGGCTTGATGAAAGGAATTATGTATGCTTATTGCGTTTTTACATGCAAAGATCGCAACACACAAAATGTCAAGAGGCGTCTTCTGATCATAATGATTAAAATTGAATATGCAATATCACATGCAGCACAAAAGATCAGTTTGAGGATTAAAGTACATTGGAATATGGTGTTTGATATAGAGTCTGCACAAGCTGCTGGTCGATCATAATTATAATTGAGAGCAGCGCTGATCGTAAGTCTATATATTCAGATCTCTAGTTGATATCAACATCTACAGAGATTTACTATAAATGCATGTTCTAAGCCGCCGATCGAGTTCGAGCAGAAGCCCAGATCATAATCTAAAAACTGGCTTTCAGTGTGTTCGAACGATCGCACATGCGTAGCTGATCTTTATGCAGTTGATCAAGCCAAAGGATTGGCTTTTGGTCAAAACGTAAACCAGAGTATCGCTGATCAGAAATATGTGTAGAGTCGCTGATCGCAGCACAATAAATGGATCTACGCTTCAGTCGAACAAGGGTCCCTCTGATCTTTTGACTCAATCGATCGCAGTTCGATATGTGAGCCTATATTATGCCGGCAGATCAAACGGATGCAGCAAAACCAAAAAGTCAAATCTTTAACATATGAGCTAAACTCATATCCAGATCAAGTTGCTGCATTCGACCGATCGCCGCTGATCATATCGCTGCGCTACCTGCGCATACTGGACTATTTTGCATGTGTTTTCCGTACGCTGCTCGAGCTGTAAATTGGGGGTTAAAATGAGTGCAACAAGATCGTTTAGATCAGTTATCAAGCTGATCGACTGATCTATGCCAAAGCTGAGCTCAAGATCATGTGTTTTGGGTGTTTCCAGTGTCCAGAGTCTCTCTCTCTCTCTCACCCTCTCTACCTCTGTGTGAAAGTTGTTGCCCCTGGCAGCCGCAAACAACAATAACCCCGCCCCCGCCCTAGCCATATCCTTTTGCAACGCTTGGAAGATTTAAATGCATAATTATTTTGATATGATGCATAGTTCCGGGACCGGACCAGGCAACAGATACCAGGGCGGCGCGTGCGTTAATTGCGTGCGAGCGAGCTAGAAAGCGCGAGGGAGAGATGGAGAGAGAGTGAGAGGGGCATATGCACGCAGGACAGGCATATCCTGACTTGAAACTGGGGCGCGCGAGCATTGAGCGGTTTTCCAACGAAACTTGAAATGCAAAAATGAATGTTAATTGAAACAAGTTTCCGTAAGGACCTGCCGCCGGCTGCCCGGCTCAACCCCGCTGAGCCCCGCTAGCCCTGGCTATTAGCTCGTCCGCCGCGTCCGCGGCATTCCCTCGCCCCGCGTTGTCCCGGCAACGGAGCGTAGTTGTTGCTCTTTTATTTATTTTTATTTTTCGTTTTTCGTTTTTGTTCCTGTTGCCGCACGCCCCTCTGCAGTCATTTTCGTAGTTAATATTTTAATTAAATGCAGGCACAGGACTCGCCCGAAACGCTCGGTCCAACTCCAACTCCGACTCCGAGTACGAGTACGAGCTGACGCGTGGCAGGTGTATTTACGCGACCAAACACTACGAATCTGCTGCGATCGTGGCAACAGGGGCACGGGCTTAGAGAGACAGCCTCTACCCCCCCAGCCCCTCTCTCTCTCTTTGTCCCTGGCCTTACGTTTGAGTCTCGCTCTCTCTGTCTGCCGGCGCAGCTGAAAATGAACGCACACAAAACACATTTGGCTAGGGGTTGCCTGTCTTGCAGTCGCATTTTGTATCCAAGTAAAAAATAAATATACACACACAAAAATAGGGGAGCTGGAACCAGCGGAGCGGCCACGCGACCGCGCGACCGGCTCATTGAACTTTGCGCACAGAGCAAAAGTTCACGACGCCAAATCCAACTTGGCTCAGCTCTCAGCTCTGAGATCGACGTTCAGCTTTCTGATTCTTTCTTTCCGTTTTCCTTTGTTGTTTTATGTGTATTGCTTAGCTACCCTACGCAAATTGGGTGATATAAGCTTTTTCATGGAACTTGCAACAACGCTTGCCTTAGCTCTGCTTTACTCTCAGTTATTTTTGCTGTCCGTCTTACAATAATAAAGCATTTGCTACTTTTTCTAATATTATCAAAAAAAACGAATAAATTTCCAACATATATTTAACGAATATGTTAATTACTACATCGATCGATCAAATGAGCTAGTTCATTTGAAC